ACCACCTGTCGCCCGTGGTGGCCAGTCCCATGCACTGCCCCATGCACAGTGCGGATATCAGCGCGCACATACGGACGATGCTAGCACTAATGCATCTTCGGCAACCACAGGTCATGTGCTGATGCAGGCAATCGTTGCCTCATGCTTTCCTTGCTGCGTCTCGAGTAAGGACGGGTAGTGCTGCCCAGATTTGCCCAGTCTGAAGTGCGTATCAGCTGAGTGCCGCAGAATCTGAGAATGCCGCATTGTAAGTGTGAAGTCGTGAACGAACGGCCATTGTCGCAGAGGTGCTCGTACCTCGGGAACCGGACTGCATGCTGGATGCAGCCGCTGACTGTGCAGAATCTTCAAAATCTGTTGAGACTGCGCTGCCAGCCGCCTTCCACTTGGCGAAAAAAGCGCGTGTCTTCGGCCAATATGTTGGTGGGTGCCAGTGTTCCATCCCTCATTCGCCAGCATGCCTTCGCCTTTCCGGGCATGCCGCGGGTGTGATGCAGGGCACGCATGACTTGCTGCGCGGCCCGCATGCGCAAGCAAGTGCAGAGGTTGCCTGATCCTGGCGTGCCATGAATGAACCGGGTTTTCCAGCACCAAGTCATATTTCCCGTGAGCCCTGTGAGCGCTCCGGCACGTGTCGGGGCGGCATTTCATTTTTTGGTGGAGCGACCATCAGAACAGCTTGCCTTGAGAAGAGGCAAGCAAAGTCCTCAGTATCTAAGATGTTGAAAGTACGGAAGCTTCAGATTTTGGCATGATTGAATTTATGGCCCAGGCTCGCAAGCCTCCATGGACAGTTCATCGTGTCCTCTCCGAAGCAATGTTTAGCAGAACCCGTCACAAACCCAGGTCTCATCTTAGGCAGCATGTGTAGGGAAATCCGTATCAACGTAGGCAGTAGGTCAGCGTGAGTCTTGCGCAGACTCTCCAGTGCTTCTACCGGCTGCCCGTCTTGATCATGAGCGCGGCTCTTTGCGCGGCAGCATGACTTCAAGCACGACCCGCATATCGAAATAGAATCGAATAGCGACGTCTTTGCTATGTACTCACTCCGGCACAATGTCTTTTCTGACTCCCATCTTGTCGGCACATGTCCATCGGTGCAGGGGTTCAGCCATGCCGCACAGGAGGAATGCTGCAAGTCGGGGTGCTTGGCGCAGTGGGACAGTGGGACAGCACGCGCAGAAGTGTAGGACAGGGTCGCACCTTTGGATGATCGGCAGGCGCCAAGTGGGAACCGCACAGCTTGGTAGGTGTCGCGGGCGGCCCTGGATGTGTGAGGCGAGAGCATGTTCTGCATGTGTTGAAGTGCGGCAGTTCAGTGTCATCACTGCGGAAGCTGGGCCAAGCTTTACGTTTACATAAGCTGGCCTCGGTGCTCCCGAATCCCGAAGTCAGTGGGTCGGACGGACGACAGGCTGGCGGCAAGCCGCGCAAGCCGCGCAAGCAGGCCTGTCTCCTGAAACTGCAAGCGTTGCGAGCCCGCCCAGCCCGCCAGGCCCGCCTGCTGCCATCTTGGTCCTCTTGGTCACCCCATGGCTTGCCTACGCTTCCTATCTGCTCTTGGCGATCGCAGGACTTTGAGGCCTGCGGAGCTTGGTACCGGGAGGGCTACGGCTAAGAAAGCCGAAGGATGTTTCGTGTGTCCGGAGCGGCGGCGTGGCATTCCGTACGAACAGGTCCTCTGGAAGTATGTCAAGCATGTCCTTCGCACGACATGCCCAAATCAGCGCTGCCGCCGCCACGTGGTGCCTGCTTCCGGCAAGCGAGGAGCTTGCCTGATCTTGTGTTCCGACGCCCCACGAAACTACAAAGTGCTCTCGGGCAAACTGATCTGGCGGTGCGCTGGAGCCTGTCTAGCTGCAGGGCCTACGCCTCACGATTCTCACAGTCTCTGGCAGGCCGCTTCTCACGGTGTAAGGCTGCCCTTGCGCCATCCAAGCATGGCATGTCATGGCAAGCCATTGCCCAGCAGTGGGTGACGTTTGGAAGTGGGGCCACCCGGTTGGCCTCAGTTACATGGTGGCTTTGTGGGATTGCAGGCTTGACAGTGTCTTTGCAATGAGGCTTCGAGCTCTGGAGACAGAAGTAGAAGGAAGTGGGACAATGAGGGGTCCTTGCAGTCGTGAAGTGCCGCGAGTCAGCTCGGCGATCTCGCGAAGCTGCTTCCGACAGTCGCGATAGGCTTGGTAGGGCATGTAGGGCGCAGTAGGCGTAGTGGCGTGGTGTAGGAAAGGGCTTCTAGCCTCCGTGCACGTGCTTCCGGAGGTTGCTTGATTCTGGATGCTAGCTTCCGAGCGCCTTTCCCGGCAGCGCTCATGCCTTTTCATGAAAAGGCGAAGAGTTGAGGACGGGGAGCCATTGCTGCAGGGTGCAACCTCAGCAAGGTCTTGTATTCCTTGCTCGGCCGTGTGCTCCTCTGCTCGCAAGACGTGGTTCCGGGATGCGGCAGGGGGGCACGGCCTCAACCGTAGAATCTGCGATCCTTCTTGCATGTGCCACGAATGTGCCTCACAGTGGTGACGGCCTCCCCCACTTTTGTAGATGGAGGGAGGCAGGGTCACGGGTCCTGAGGTGCCAATATCCGGATCCATTTTTGAGTTTGTCTGGCTGGTTGGCCGTGAGACTCAGGTTATATGGCAGGGAGACCCACGCATGAGAATCCATTTTCCTTTCTCGCCTGTGTGTCCTGACATTGGTCAACCATGTGAGATGCCAGAGTTGCGGAGTCTCGTAGTGATGACAGCTCCCAGGGACGTCAGGCACGGGCAGCTCCATTTTCCAACCCCCCTCGTCCTAATACGATGGGGATGTGCCTTCGGGCACTTGGCGAAGGTTGCACAGTAGCTAGCCAGTCGATCGACCCCCAATGAAGATTTTGCCCAAACTGACTGTCCTGCTTGAAGCCTCCACCAGTGTGTCTAGCATGAGTTTGCTTTCGAGAAGAGGCCACACGCGCTTGCGCGAGTTCAGAGCAGGGTACCAGACCCTGAACATGCCAGGTGAGGTCGGGGGTCTCTGGGCTTCTGACTTCCCGTGGACGACTATGGGAATCAATTGATGTGCGAGTCTGAAGGCTCTTTGCCACGCGTCCCTGTGCCGCTTGGTTGAGAGTTGTCGAGTCTGTCGAGCTGCAAGAGCGAACACATCAGCCTCTCATTGCCTTGTATCGTTCAAGGACGAAGCAGGTCATGCAAAAATGGTCGGCATGGTTGCGGAGGTACATTGCTAAGACCCTGTGCTGGATGCAAACACTGAGCATGCTGACTTTTCTGAGCCCGTGGATTGACAGCCACTTCCGAAAGGGCCGCGGTTATCTTTCTTGGCCACGCAGAAGTACGCAGGTGCTGAGGAGCAGCCGGGCTCCGTTCCCACCTGGGACACGAGCAGTTTCAGACGAATTCAGGTCCAGGTGTGCCCATGCAGCACGGCGCTACACGGCGCTACACCGCGCCCATGTCCCGCTGAGTCGATGGCAATCTGCCTGCCAGGAGGATCAGGACATGCTAGGCGGGTGCCAGACACAGTTGTCCTGGAGAAGCCTCTGCGCGTCGAAGACGTGCAGCGAGGGCATGCGAGGGCAGTGAGGGCTGCCGTGCCTGCCGGACCGATGCTTGCACAGGCCTTGGCGCCGGGGGGGGGGGAGATCCTGGATCTGACATGGTCTGAGGCAGGGCGGTGCACCGGCAGAATCCTCTCCAAAAGCTGCTCCGGCTAATGCCTTGATGTGACTGTTGTCATTGCGTATTGCGGGTTAGCGTCAGAAGCCATCATGCCCTGCTCAGGGACAGGACAGCCAGGCTTTCACCGATCGCAACGCGCTGCCTCTCTATGGCGCTTCCGGATTCTTCTGAATGTCTTGAAGCAGGGTGCGAACCTCAGGATTCACATGAGCAAGTGTCAAGATTCCGTTGTTTGTAGTTATGTAAGAGGCGTCCACGAAAGCGCAAAATCTTGCAAAGCGACCAGAACACCTGAAAAGCGACACCCCCAAGATGAGAGAGCAGTATGCGGCGATTTCGTCGGGGGTCTCCTCGAAGAATCCCAAAACGACGCCTTAGTCCATCAAGCCAAGCACCGGATCCCCAAAACCCTGTAAAGCGACGGGAGCACCTGAAAGCGACAGTCCCCAGCTTGCGGCCATTGGCTCACGATGACGTTTTGATGGCCGCTGATGCAGTAGAGGTGCGTGCTTCAACAATGAGGCATCGTCGCTGGACTCCGCTGGGCGTGTGCATCTCCGGTCGCGTAGATTCATGGATGTTCCGGCACTGTCAGATCTTGGTCTAGTTGTACTGGCCCTCATCTGAGTTGGGCCAAAGCGCCAAAAGGTCGCCTCTGCATGTGTCTAGGCTTCTCACAGCCAGTACGGTGGGAAATGGACGTGAGAGATGCTCAACGTAGCCCGGCCAGGCTGGGTCGCATGCTCTTGTCCTCGTCCGCTTCGACTCCGCGCAGTTTCACAGCGAAGCACAGCGCTTATGTCCTGTTCAGCCGATGGTAGGTTGGGGGCAGGATCACGACATGCGTTAGTGAGCGGTGCTTCAGGGCCTGCCTGGGTGTGCAGGCCAAGCAGGTCTGTACCAAAGTTGGCTTGGGCAGCAGTAGGACACTGCACCCTCCGCAAGTGCAGCGTGTGTGGGGACGTAAAGCTCAAAGCAAGCGAGTTCAAGGCTAAGGCGGCCAAGGCGGCTAAGGCGGTAAAGGCGGTTAAGGCATGCCGGAAGATCCAAACTGCTTGAAGCGCCTCGGTGCAACACACGAGGGGCAAGACAGCTGCAAACGCACCCATGGGGCTTTGAGGCGAGGGCGCCACTCGAATCGCTTGTGGTCTTGCAGGTGCCCTTATTTCCGGCTCAGTGCTTCCTTTGCCCTGGGGCAGCTGCCACAACATCTGGAAGCATCTAGCACACTCCAGAGACGAAGGTTTTCATTGCATGTCATCGAGAAGCCACTTCAATGCCGACAACTCCGGAAGTTAGCGATGCGAGAGCCATGCCAGCATGTGCCAGCACGCTCGTGCCGAGGGGCTGTATCTCCATTGTTGCTACGCTCTACCCTACGCTCTACCCTGCTCGGATGCAGGCTGCCAAGTTGAATCCGGGACAGCAGATTGCTGCAGAGCATTGCAGAGCGCACGTGTCAGGTGGCAGCCCACGCTGGGCCGCGAAAGCAGCAATCACGAGTGGAGCGAGCGGTTTGGTCGCTGGCAAAAGCCTAGCTTGTGGAGTGGAGGGAAAGCGCATGAGAACACATATGAAAATACCAGCATTCCCTGCGCTCTGACTCGCAGCCGGGGTGCCACGGCAGGCGCGAAGCTGTTGAGAGCTTCTTCCAAGTTGCTTCGCCGTGGTGTCAGGACGTGCCAGGTGCTGAGGGTGGCCGGCTTTTCCGGCTTACCCTTTGCCATGGAACTTCTTGCAGTGCTTGCAGTGTGGAGTCCGGAGTCTGACCTTGAGCTTGTCCTTCTTGCCAGACAGCCTTCGGCAGAACCTCCGATAGGTCCTTCAGAGCCTTGCTGCGTCCAAGCTGACTTGCAGCCGAGCGCGTGCGACAGGACGACCGGGAGCATCCGGGAGCATCCGGGAGCATCCGAGGGTTCTGGGATTCTAGGCACAAGGAAAGCCTGCCACCGCCGCTCTCACTGCGCTCCCTCTGCTTTCTCTCTCAGTGAAGGGGAGGCTTGCATGGCGGACTCCCACATCCACGATCCAGCGCCCGCCGTTCCTTTCATGAGCGTCATGGGCTTAAGACAGGCCGACTGATAATGTGCAGAATCGTGCAGGAGAGTGCGGGTGTTGCATGGCGTTGCACGCTATGCACGGTGTCTCACAGCTCACTTGGTGGATTCCGCATGGCTTGCTGCCTCCCTGAAGCTTAAGACACGTGGTTCGAGCCAGTTCGAGCCGCAAGATGCAGGACCGACGGCCATAGCCAGAACGATGCTGCCATAGTCAGGTACTGTCAGGTAGGCCCCGCACTGCGCGCGCAACGCCGTCATTGCCAGGCATTGCAAGCTTGGGACGTGACATGCGCAAAGCCATGCGTAGAGTGTGCATGAGGCGCGCCACCCGCGTCCCGATCTGAGTTCGTTGCAGGGTGGTGGAAATCGTTGGGACCTGATGCTTGTGTTGTGGGTGTTCCTTGGCTTTGTGCCTTCGGGAGCGTGCTCTTCGGGAGCGTGCTCTCGCCAAACCGTGGACTGACCACCCGCAATAGCCCACGAACGGCCTGAAGCCGGGCCTGTGGCGCAGACTAGATGCCGGGATTGGGGGCCATGTAAGGCGCCCAGGCCCATCCAGGCCCCTCACACGATTCGCTTAGATTCCCTAGATGCAGATGCTTGCCTGGTCCGTTCTATGTTCCGTCAAAATTAGGGACGGCTTTGAGGACTTAAGCTGCACCCAAGTGGGAAATGTGCGTGGCACTTGTGACACTTGTGTGACAATCCCGGATCGCGGCCTCGAGGATGCAAGCATCGTCTCGTAGCCTTTCTGAGATCTTTTGGGAGCCAAGGGAGCACTGAGATCTAAGCCGACTTTGGGCCTTGCAGGGTCACGGCACGTCACGGCTGCATGGGCTGCCTTGAAGGCCGCGATTCGCAACATTCGCGGCCCGTGCCGAGGAAGGGCCAAGTGCCCCAAGTGCCCCAAGTGCCCAAGCCTGAGACTCAAATGATCCGTGACCTGAGGCGTGACCTCAGGTTCGGGGCGGTTGGGGTTGCGCCGCTTGGGGCGCCCCGACTTGGGGCGCCGGTTCTGCCGTGCCTGGCAGTGCTCGCTCACCTCAAAGTCTCCAGGGCTTGCCTGTGACGCGCAGCACCGAGGAGGGCTGCAACACAGTCAACACAGTCTGCGTGGATGTGCATGATGTGCCCCTCATATCCAAGAATGCCCTCGGCTCGACCTCGACATCCCTCGATTCGACGAACTGAGCATGAACTGAGCATGGAGCCAGCGTCGCGCAGCGTGTCGCGCAGCGTGTTGGGCAGCCTGAACTTGTGCGGCAGTCCTGTAGAGGGCCAGCAATGCCCAGCGCGGTCGTGATCCAACCGTGCCGGGGAAACTGCCAGGAGAACCTTCTCACCATCTGCGAGCAGAGTCATAGATCCTGGCAGTTCAGAGAGTTGCAGACCATCATTCTGGTGCTGCGCTCACTGAGCCGTCACAAAGAATTCGAACATGTATGTAGATACACAAAGGGACCACGGGGAGGCTTCGAAGCCCAAGTGGTCACAGTAGTCTCTTCCAAAGTTGGCTCCTTTCGCGACATCCCAGGGCACTGTAGCGTAGCGCGCCGCGCATTCCAAAGCACTGTCCGGATCCTAGCCACGCACCGTTAGCGCATTCCTGATGGCCCAGGGCTAAGCCAACTGCTTTGCGTTCTCTCTGACCGCTCAGGGCAGCGGGGGCCTGCGCCGGGGACACACCGGGGATATCGATGCCTCGGCGACTAACGGGGGGACACTGCCTGCCTGGAGCCAACCTGACGAGTCTTCGCCATGCCTAGTCGCACGACACGTCTAAGTGAAGCGGAGGTACCGGTGAATCCACTGGGCGACTGAGCGAGGTTTGCTGAGATATTGGACGTGCCCCGATCTGACGAACATCTACACCCGGTCAGTCCTAGTCACACCATTGCCCACCTAGGCTCGCGAGGCTCGCAGGGCTCGCAAGGCCAGTGCCCGAGAGAAGTCGGGCTTGGGGCCGTGGTGCCGTTCAGATACAAATCCATTGTCACGGAAAGTCCCCGTATGTGACCGTCTGACCGGGGCCGTGGAGTCGCGACGTTCCTCGTGCCATCCAGCCTCGAGAGCACTTTGCCTCGAGAGTCCGGGAGGCTTATAGGGTGACACGGTTCCGATTGCTTAGGCTGCTGAGACTGTGAGCATGAGACTCTGACAAGCATGGGGTCGGGTGAGAGGTAGGGAAGTTTCAAGATGGAGCCGCTCCAAGCTCAAGGGCTCCTGGCTCAATGGCAACCCTGTGCCTTCAAGCATCCCATAAATTACCTGGGGCAGCATCTCTTGCAGTGGACCGTAATAGCCTTCTGGACACCCACCATGTTGTGCTTCTTGACCTGGCCCTGCTGGATGGGGCGCGCAGAACCCAGCGATACATCGAACAACAAGTTATAGAAACAAAGTTGGACTGCTGTGCCGAACCTGGCCGAGAACATGTGTCGTGGATTTTGAGGTCGGGCTGTTAATTGGGTGCTGTTTCGCTGTTCATGGAGGAGGAAGAGGAGGAAGAGGAGGAAGAGGAGGAGGAGGAGCAGGAGGAAGAGTGGGGAGGGGTTTGCTCCTTTCCCGCACACGTGCACCTGGTACGCTTCAGAGCCGTCGGAGACCCAGCCTCGCCAAGTTCCAGCGCCGTTCTTTCCTGCCTTCTTCTCTGCCTTTCTGAGTCCTGTGCCGGGGCTGCGACGCCAGTTCCTATACCGATCAACTACACGCTGATGCTTTGCTGCACCCCAGGTGACAAACACCCAGCGATCTACGGTCCTCGGAGGTTCATGTGCCTAGGGCTATGGGCACACGAGTAGCTGGTGCTCTCCTTAGTCCCTTGTGGCCAAAACCTCGAAGTTGATCTTCGGATCAGTCAAACGGAAGGCACTTGTCAGTTCTGTTCGATACATCTTCGTAGCTTCAGCATAGTTCTCAAGCGTATGCGGACAGTTCTTTCGACGCTCTGACGGGCTTAACACCGCTCTTGACTTTCCCCAAACGAGCCACCGATGCCACCGATCACCTCCGTGACACCACATCAGCGCCAGCCTTTGGCATGGGGACATTGAGGGTTTAGGGTGGGGGCATGTGGGAATCGGGCCACGATTGAGGATGGTGGCTTCACTGTCAAGGATATTCACCGAAAATTCCCTGGCCAGTGGTGAACAACACACACAGCCGCCTCTAAAGACGTCAAACTCTCACCTGTTTGCGCTTGTTGGCTTTTGCAGCGGTGCTCAATTGGCTGACACTTAGTTTCCGCCTTTCCTGTTGGAGGCAGATCTGGAAACACTTAGCCTTAGACTGCAGAAGACAGGACTAGTCACACGCCGCACTCCAGGGCCATGTGATCAGCTCCACAAGTGAATCCGGTCACCATACGACACTTGCCCAAACAAGCCCAGCAAAGGAAGCTAAATGTTTCGCTTGGTAGCCAAAGCAACTCTCCAACATGTGGCCTGTACGTAACGGACATCGTTTGTCTGTCTTCGTACATGCGCTGCAAGTTCTAAGTTCTGTTGGTGCGAATGGCTACCTTGCACTCCCAACAGTCAGCAGGGGGTCCTATAGGACCGTGTTGCGAGGCCCAGAATCCATATTCCTGCGAAGCCGAGAATGGGTGCACGGCTCCCTCTCGCATCGAGGCCTCCCGGTCACACCAACACTGGCAATCTCTATGATCGAGACCCTATGCATCCCGTCCCCAATCCAGACCTGACTAAGTATCTCTTCTCAAAGGAGGACGTCATGTAGCCAAATCCAAACAAACACAGTGCTTTGTTCCACACCCTGCTCCATATGTGTTTTACACTTGTTGCAGACAGTCTGCTTGTATTCCGTGAACTGTTGATTTCTCGCAAAAAGTGTTCTCATCTTCCGCGCATTCTAAGCACAAACTTGCCCCAGCATGACAGCTGCCTGAATGCGCAGATGCCAAACGCTGATAACCACTGCAGAAGACGAGTCTTTCCACAAGGACGTGGAATTGTGGCAAAGCGACGACCCAAAACGATGTCCTCAACTGATGTCTTCAATGGATGTTCCTCTCATGGCCTTTAGGCTCTGCCGCACGCTCGGATGTGCAGATTCGATTGGTTTGACAAACTGTTCTTCACGAATCTCAGGTAAAAGTTTGCTATGCGCCTTTACCGTGATTTGACCCGGAGGGGCATTGACGTCGAGCCGCAAGCTTGGGACGCCGAACTGTAACTACTTGGTTGCCATCCTTAGGTGAGCGATTAGCCGCTCATGCGCTTTCACCTGTCGTTTGCTGAGGATATTCTGATTCAACCACGGGTCGTAGCACTCACTGACTACGCTCATTCATTATCTCACTTGCTTCGAAGCACGAGCGAAAGAACGTATGGAGCGAATCTTACCGAAAGTCAACGAAGGAGTAGAGCATCTCACCAGTCATGTCTGGTAATTGCCGTATCTGCCTTCCCAGATCTTCCCAGGCTTAGCACTATTCTTCTCTTTAACTCGCTCGCGCACACGCACACACACACCCCCCTTCCGTACTGTTGCTTTGTGAGCGAATGAAGAGAGTGAACTCAATGTTGCTGAGCCGCAACCTTCGGACACGGAACTTGTACTCTTTGGTTTCCATCGTTAGCTGAGCGATCAGCAACTCATGCGCTTCCACCTGTCGTTTGCTGAGGAAGCGGTACCCTGGCTCTTTTCTTCAACAGTCTGTGGAACAGTGAATTCCGAGCCATGGCCTCGTGATGCCCTCACAAAGCCCCCCAGGAGGCCAGCGACGCGCGCGGCCAGAGGATGCCTTCTCATGAACTAATCACTTGTGAAGCCACGGAAAATAAGGCGATAACCGTTTCGGAATGAACGTTCGCCTTTTGGCCTTGTAGGTTTTGCCCACTCAGTACTTGCCGTCCACTCGGCCAATTTACACCGCTCGACTCATTAAAATCACTGACGGGGACTTCTGTGATTGCGCGCCCTGTCCCTATTGGTCAGGGGCTGGGGCTGAAATGCCATTCTTCATTATTCAAAGCATTCGGCGCTTTCAGTCGGGCGCCGGCTTCTGTATCTTGTATTTGCGATTCATCTTAGTTGCACCGGAGGGAGCCTCGCAGAGAGGGCTGTGGACATGCACAGCAAAGCTCAAGGACTCAAACCTGATTCATCTTAACTGATCAGTGAAACACCAAGAAGTTTGAACTAGTGTAACTATATTGTTTAGTGCAAGAGGCACATCTCTCCAGGCATAGTGAATGTAATTGTGGGAGTTTGGGGGAGGGGGGGGAGGGAAGCGCATGAATGTCGTCGTTTCCGGCAGTGGTTAGCCGGAGGTGTGCGCTTTTGCCGGCTGGCCAGCGCGTGGGACACCCTCGCACCGCTTCTTGCGCGGCCAGATCACTAAGGGCATCATGCAATCCAAGTCTCTTGTGTCGGGGGCACTGGCATGTCAGGACCTCGAAAGCGGAAAGACGCCCCAACCCTGGCCGAAGTGTAGGGGCTGCATCGTTAAGATCTTGCCAGAGCAGTGTCGTGTTCAGGGTGGAGTGTGTCGTGTGTGCACGGCGGGCTTCAGATGGCTCCATCCACGACACATCCATTACTACCATTGTTTGAGCCATCGGTGTGCTGCGTGTGTTCGCATGTCCTCGCACGTCCTGGCAAAATGTGTTGCAGCGGGTCGCGAGCGAAGCCCACGGCTAAAGTCCTGTGAACTTTCCATGACCCTTTGGGACACAAACCATCCCACTACCCTGTCTCTCACTCCCCGAGGGTTGGTGCAAGGCTTTCAAGGCGGTCAGCTCGGATTTCGCTTTCCATTAGAGAAGAGCGCTCCTCTGGCGGTGATGCAGTCGCTCGAATGCAGTGACATGAGGAGAGCCACGCACAGAGTTTTTCGACATTAGCACGTGCCGACCAATTCTGCAGCGAAGCTCGCAGCGGGCTGGGAGAAGGACTAGTGAATATAGGAGGTGTGGCACTTTTGGCCGGCAAGACAGGGTGCCAGAGTGCTTCTTGTTGCCTGGAAACATGAAACATGAGATGGGTTGGGCTGAGCATCCGCCACGGGACATTACAACTCGGAGATATGCGGGATATCCGAGTTGGGGCCTCTGCGAAACGCGCATTGTGGATCATTTGTGGGTAGTCTGTGAGGAATTTCCGGGGCCATATTAGGCCATGCAATCCTTCGTGATTCTGTTCATCCGCCAAGTGTCAAGCGCAGGCCAAGTTGGAGCCGGCATTTAGCATGCGAGATCTGGAGGCCGGGTTCAGCTCGTCAGTGGAGGTGTGGCTCAGGTGCTGATGCTCTTGCTGTGCGAGCCCGCTACCGCCAGGCCAAGCTTACCAAGCCAAGCGGGAGGCTATGCCATCCGCAGCGTACAGTATATATCTTTCTATATATATAACTGTATATCGCTTTTGCTATGGCAGAATAATACCCAGAGTGGTATTAGCCTGGCATGAGAGAGTCCTGAGAATCTCCAGTCGCATGGCTTCTCAAACTCCCAGGTCAACCCGTGTGTCCAAGACGTGGAGCAAAACGGACTCATGGCTACGTGCATTGTGCGACTGCGATGTGCCTTGACGCTGAGGTATCGCAAGCGCGAGAGGGGTCACGCGGACCGCCATGCTCGGAGAGCCTGGCTCGATGCATGCACGGTCATGCGCAGTCTCTGTGTTCAGGCCAACGTGTCACAGCCAAATGCAATCAACAGCAGTACTCTTTTGGCATGCTAATTGTAACGAACGCATGATGTCCCACACGCGACTTGGGAAGTTTCAGAATCTTTCCGTGTCGGGATAGGCCCTCGGATAGGCGATGCGAATGAGAGTGCCAGAGCACGATAGGACAAGTTGCGAGTCATGACCCTCACAATCTCCACGACCTGGGGTTTCGAAGCATCCCATGCCACTCGGTGATGCAGGATGGGCCTTCCAAATCGCAGCATTGGATTCTTTGGTGTGGATGCTTCCTCGAGTCCGCTTCCCCAAGCATCAGGCTCATACGACATCGAATTGCAAAGCTTTGGGCCAAGAGGTGGCAATCGCACAGGGGAAGAGGCCAGCAGGTGATGTTCATACATGGACGGGGGTCGGGTTGTTCTGCACGGAGCATCCCGAAGAGGATCGGAAGGAAGGACTCTGCTGGATCGCCTTAGAAGGGCTGTCTTCGACGAACTGTGTGCCGAAGGCGATGTGGCAAGAGGCCAGCGAAGGGTCAGCAACATGAGATGACACAGCTGGCAGAGTTCAACCGATGCACGTCGGCCTCCCCATCAGACACGGCTTTCGGGCTTCATAGACTGGGTTTGGCCCTTAGGTTGTCCGTCTGCTCTTGAGCAGGGAGCTGACATTGTGGCATTGTGGGGATTGGGGCCGAGACCGCTGAGAGTTCCATTCCAGAACTTCCAGCCTCTGACTCAGAAGAGCTCCAGCACTAGGGGGTTTCCAGAAAATTTAGGCTGGACCACCGCCAACCCACCAACCCTGGGGTCGGTATCTTTGATCTCCCCTACATGAACCGTGCAGGCTGCCCCGTAGACTAAGGCACCTTTCGGGGTAAGTTGACGTAAACAGCATCTCAAGGAGGCTTGCAAACCGCCTTCTGGATCGCCTTAGAAGGGCTGTCTTCGAGGAGCTTTGTGCAGAAGGCGATGTTTCAAGAGGCCAACAAAGGGAGAGCAACGTGTGGGAGATGAGAAAGGCTGGCATGGCAGAATTCACCCGATGCACGTCGGCCTCCCCATCAGATCGGGTTTGGCCTTTAGGTTGTCCGTCTGCTCTTGAGCACGCGGATTGAGGCCGAGACCGCTGAGAGTTCCATTCCAAAACTTCCAGCCGCAGACTCAGAAAAGTTCCAGGACTAGGGGTGACCACCGCCAACCCACCAACCGACCTGGGTCGGCCGCCTGCTGACGGAACTTCCATACCAGATTCAGGGAGTCTCCGAAGACTGTTTTTTGGGGGAGCTCCCGTAGATTGGAGAGTTGCCGCAGACTGAATCTCAGGTTGGGCTGCGTGATTTCCTCTTGGGAAAGCTTCCCACGAGGGCTGCCCTGCACATTTCCAAAAGAGACTCGTGCCGGCTGTGCGGCGCATCGTGCCTGGATAGCCCCGATGTGCCTTCACGTGATATACACAGCTCAATGGGGGGCGTTGGCCAGTGCGCGAGAAGACGAGGGCTCAGATGTTGAAACGGGGTTCGGAGCGGACAGAGTGCCTGGAAGCAGCGAATGGCCACCGGCCGTTGTGATCGCGACAGACGGTGACCGCGGGGACACACAGTCCGATGCAGCCTGTTTTTTTGCCACCATTTGGTCCGACGAGGTCACGTTGTTGAAGGTGTACCCCGTCGCACTGACGAAGTCCAGGTTTCTCACGAAGCCTTTGTCGCAGTGTTATTTCAGCATCAAAGTCCTTCCTCTCAGGAGATCCAGGGACGGCAGTGTGGAGAGTGCCATGCGTCCTGGATCTTTCTTGGCAGTGGGTGATCATGCATGATGTATTGCAGTCGTGATCTATTATTTCCTTCCGGTATGCCACAATATATGCCTTCCTCTTATCCATAGTCAAGCTCTGTGTTCTCGATTCTTGGCAGCCTCTTCTGCAGCGCTCCATAAAGCGCGCCACTGGACTTGCAGCACAGTTAGGACTTCCTCTGGGAAGGTTTCGTCGTGCAGCCATGCGAGTGGAGACCAGAAGTGATGGCGTGAGTAGGCTCTACATGAAGGACATCGCCGACTATCTTTTATGTCTCTGAAAAAGACGGCGACTATCTGGCTACATGCTGGGCTACATGGCTTAAAGGTTACTTCGTTTAAGTTGCGCCTAAGACTGAATGGCTTGAGCTATCCTAGGTTTCACAGGCCCAGCCATGCTCGGCAAGTTGCTAACATGTGCTGGTAGTGTACGAAGAGACATGGGCTTGAATGCCAAAATCTCCACTTTAACCCTTCTTCGTGAGTCGAGTCGAAATGGTCGATTTCGCAGGCTCGCGAAGAGGACGGAGTTCCACAGGCTCGGGAGTCGACCTTTGTGCAACAGCACTACTTGGAATTAGTCGACACCGGTAGGTTCTAAGTGGTCCCCACTGCCGTCACTGCCGCTCGTTTCCAAGCGCACGTCGGAGCCAATCACCGATGTGAGTTGCGCAGGAGTTGTGCTGCAGCTTCGGTAGCTGCTTCCTTGAATCGTGAATGCAGGATGGCGTTGAGTGATTCGTGAGTGCATAAATGCAGGACAGGTTTTCCTACAATTGACGGTCGCTGTGTCACCTGCCGTACGGAGGTCACTGGAGCAAGCCAGCCATGCAATAAACAGAATTGATGAGCCGGGGGTGTGCGGGTCTTGCCGTGTGTAGTAGTTGCAGGATATGGGCCCAAACGCGCGATCCTACAATTAGGGCCTTCACGTCTGTGCGGGCACTGCTGTGGTGGTGTGCTGGGCCGAAGCTCACCACCCTCGCTTCTTAGCCAATGTCTTGGAGGCTGTTAGAAGCTTTTTTCCTTATGACCTGCAGCCTTCCAGATTTGCAACTTTTGCACTCCGGCAGAGGCTCTCAGAGTTGCAGGCAAAGATTTCTGAACAGTGAAGTTTCGGGCCTGAAACTGAAGTTCAAAGAATGAGCAGCTTGTAGCACGTGCCAGAGCACGTGCCAGACGAATGCTCGGTTGATGGCACGCAACTGCATACTGAAACCGCGATGGCGGTTTGCGCTTGGAGCAGAGAGCGCTCCCTTTGGCCGCGGCATCTCCACGATATCGACCACTTCAGGGCAGATGGTGTTCGCTCATTCGCCCATTTGACCGCGGATAGCGGATGATCTAACACTGTAGAATCATATAGGCATGCACCGTTTGTGCACCTTCCGGTTTGAGGCATTGATTGTGCACCGTGCAAGACTTTGGCTTGGAAGCTGCCTGAGCTACAAGCAGCTGCTTTGTAGCTGCTGTGGGACGAGCAGGCACGCGGCCTGACCCATTTCAGTGCCACCATCATCCTTCCTTCGTGAAGCATACCTGTTGTGCATCGATGCGAATGCCGGTCCAGGTCATCGGATGCTAAATCTGGGAAGTCCTAGCATAACTCTCCTGGGTTTCCCGAAAATTCGGAGTACGTATTCAGTTTGTTTGTTGGTCACTAGGAGCTGCAACTTTCGTTGAGCTATTCATTCTGAAGCACTCTGAGTCTGTCCAGCGCAGATCTGGCCAAAATCTCGAGCAGTACGAGCTCTTCGAAATTCAGCACGAGTCCACACTGTTCAGTTTACGGGCGATTCAAGGGTTCGGTCGAGTGAAGCAACCGAAGCCTCACCAGCGTGTGGGGGGAGCACACCTGGTCCGGGTTGGCTCCACTCACAGCCGGTGGTTCAAAGTTGCCATATTGCCATATTGCCATATCGGGCTGAACAGAATCCCTTCAACACCTCATCATGTTGCGTCCGGCTGGAAGACGACATGCGCGTGTTGTACTGAACCGGAGCTAATCCGATTCGTGAGACCTCAAGCTTTGCTTATCTGGCACTTGCCGATGCTAGCTGTGCCAGCTGCGCCTGTGGGCAAAGTGCCATAAGGCCACATCCTAGGCAGTCGAGCGCGCTCCCGGTCTCCAAGAGGTGTGGCATCAGAGGACGCTCGTGGCGGCCGTGCGGGCACGCATCCCGCCTGGATGGCAGCGATGTGCCTTGACGCAGCTCAACGGGGTGTCTTGGCCAGCCACAAACAGCGGCCAAGGCTCTTGTGCAAATTTTGCCCGGTTGCCGAGGTTGCCGAGGTTGCCTACTGAAGACAAATGTCCCGAGCCTCTGGGCGAGGACTTGCCTGATGTAGCCTGGCTCGCTTCGTCACCTCCAGTTACTTCCTCTCCACAAGCCCACAAGTGAGCTTGCTTCCCTTTGCGAACGTGGGCTGGATGCAAAGACTTGCAGGACTGTCACGCGCTGACCTGGCACGGGCTCCCGTCACTCCCGGCCGTGCACGGCACGCGTAGCACAAGCTGCCAAGCCTGCGTCTGCATTGTCTGCACGTGGGCTGCTTGCACTCGTTGCTCTCGCCGTGCACGCACTGCTTTTGCCCAGATTCAGCGGGGTCGCAACTTTGCAGACCGTTCTACGCACTGCAAATACAGCACGGCTCGTAGCTCTGGCTGAAAATGTACGCTGCCCCTGGGTGCTTGGCCAATACTCAGCATTGCAGGTTCTCAAGATTTCTCAAGCATTCCCATGCTAGGCGCGAGGATTGCATAAGCCTCAAACACCCAAAACCTTTCTTGTTGACATACAGACCAAGGGACGTCTGAAATCCTGCGCCAGGCTTCTGGTGCACGGGAGATATCTCCCTCTCCTGGGAGGCTGATCCCGCTTGCTGCGAGAGACCCGTGCAGGCCGGGAGCTGGTGCTTGAATTGCTTGAGAATGCCGCAGCCGGAGAAGACAGCCAAGACAGCCAACAGCCAGTTCTCTGCCTCTGTTTGGAGGGTTCGCCTGCAGTGGCAATGATTCCTCTGATCCAGGTTTTGGAGCTCCTCTGCCTTCTGGGCAAGTCTGGGCAAGGACAGTAAGTTTCGAGACCGCCCCCGGCAGGGCCCGGCAGGTGAGATGTCAAGCGATGCGCATCCCTGAGATGAAAGCTGCTGGAGATTCGAGAGCTTTGTGTTCCCTTCACCCAGGCAAGGGCGGCAAGGCATGTGGCACAAGTTCGTACCTGGTACATTACGAGCTGAGACCGATGGGGATGGGCCAGGATTCAGCCGGTGCGACGTCGGCTGTCAGCCCGTGCATGCCCAGGACCTAGAGGCCTAGCGTGAACTTCTCCACTGCTGCACTTCTTCCATGCCGCGCACCTCTGATGTGGGAGAGGACCATTCCGTTTGTCCAAGCCCGTGCGACTGCAACTTTGCCAAATAGTTACGCCAGGGCTACGCTTGGCTCCACTGAGCGTTAGGCCCTTCATGCGTTCAAGCCTCCTTTCATTCGTGCCACTGGTGGATCAGGATGCGTCAGGTAAGGCCCGTGATCCTTGCCCACCTAAAGCCCAGGATGCGGTGTGGAGTCCCTGAATTCAGGCACGCGCTTGAATGCTGGACTCGTGACAGTCTAAGGAGAAGCGGGGCAATGAAAGGGTTGCGAAGCTGTTGAAGATCCTAATTTGGGATCCTTTGGCCAAAGGACATGGGCCCTCTGACAAGGCTGCTTCCTCGACATCCGCTGTTCCCACCAGACTCTATTGCTGGT